TCCTTAACAGCAACCCAGAATAGCATGCCAGTGACATCTAGCATCTGATGCCAGAGGTTCAGAAGCTGCGTTTGCCACCTGGGCCCTGACCTGGGCCTTTGTGCGCAGCCTGGTGATGGAGGTCTTGCAGGATTAGAACTCCCATTAATACCATTCTTGTTACTTTGATTAATACTGTTATTATTCTTGTTATTCGTACAACTACTGATCAGTGTTTGTCAGCCTTGGGGAATTTTTATGCGTTTTCGTCATATCTATACCTGGAACCTGGCACTGGCATGGCATTCTACCCCCTAAACCCTAAACCCTAAACCTTGGCTTCAACTTTGGGAAGTGGGCACTTGGGGGACTGTCAAAATTATGGTCCTTTTTTGGGTCCCTATTATAATACGGGGCCTAATTTAGGGGACCCAAAATGGGACCATAATTTTGACAACCACCCACTTGACGCAGCGCCATGCCACCTTTTCATCTCTTGTAGGCGGCAATCCGCCAGCCTCGTGCTGCAGTCGAGCATGAGCTTCGTCCTGATGCTGGGTTTAGGGTTTAGGGTTTAGGGTTTTTAGAGTTTAGGGTTTAGGGTTTTTAGGGTTTAGGGTTTAGGGTTTTTAGGGTTTAGGGTTTAGGGTTTAGAGCCATTTTCACACGTTGTTTTTGCACCGGTGTTTGTCTTGCCAGTCTTTGGCAGGCGTTTTCCTCAGATTTAGTTTGCATTCCTGAACAGACACATACTCATGATCGAGGACTGGAACAATTGTGCATTATCTAGGATAGAAGCCCTCCTCTAACTGTAAAGGGGTGCTATGGTGGTCGTATAGAATGCTACTACAGAATTTATCAAGGGGGATACTCGGAGTTTAGACTATAGCTCATTTGATCATTTGATGTTGCAGGCCAGGCACTGCAGCATGCGCTATGGCCCTGACTTGAACCCTAAACCCTTAACCGCGAATCGTACAGAAGTGTAGCAGAAAATTGGCATTGCGCATGTCGCTCTCCGCATGGAAGCGATCTAAGCCCGCTTGGCTTGAAAAAAGGTCCCAGTGACGGCTGCCCTGGATGCATCTAGTGAAGTTAAGAAGTTGTCCCCATCCGGGAGTTTCTTAAAACTAGGGGTACCAGTCTGGGGGTCCCCACAATGAGGATTGTAGTAGTATTTTGGGGTTTGTATTGGGGTATATTCCCCCCATTTAGGAAGGTGTCCCCATTTCAAGCCCTAAACCCTAAATCCTAAACTGGTATGTTCCCCCCATTCAGGAAGTTGTCCCCATTTCAAGCTGAGTCGGCAACATCTGACGTTGGCGACCCCGTCCTAGGATCGGATCATGGACTGTCCTAATGAATGCGGTTAGGGTTTGGGGTTTAGGGTTTAGGGTTTGGGGTTTAGGGTTTAGGGTTTGGGGTTTAGGGTTTGGGGTTTAGGGTTTAGGGTTTGGGGTTTAGGGGTGTGTGTGCTCTTGACTCGCCAAGTATCAGGTTTACTATTCATTGCTGAAACTTACTGTCATAGATAGTACTGCGCCTTCATACTATTTACCCTAAACCCTAAATCCTAAACCCTAAACCCTAAAACTATTTGTCATACATCACCTGGAGGTCTGATGATCCACCTTGGGCTCAAGTCGACGAGCGCATGTCACAACTTGATACATGTGAGCCATAGTCTGAACTCCTAGTATCCCCCTGAAGCCCTATAATACTCCCCTATATAATCCCCATTATAGTCCCCTTTAAGGAGTTTAGACTATAGCTCATATCACTAAAATACAGAATGCAAGCACGC